CAGGCACCTCCTCCTGCCTCTGAGCGGTTACTGTCTTCTTCAGAATACTTTTTTAACCCACAGTAAGCACTTCCCAGAAGGGACAAGGCAAAAAAATTCAAATCTCAATAGAAAAGAAAGGATAAATGAAAGATATGAAAAAGCAACTCGGTGCAGCAAAATCCAAACGGCTGCTCTGTGCTTGTGCGAGGCTCACCTGGGCAGCAGCCCATTAATGCATCCGAGTCAAAACGGGGTCTCTCTCCATCTGCTAGCCTGGCGAAGTAAGCAGCCCATTGACGTGAGACATATGCACACACCATGTCACTCATACACGCACGTGCATGGCACAATGTCCAGCGACAAGACGCAAGCAAGGCAAACCCCCAAATTTTTGTCAACCTAACTGATCCCACCTACTAAAGCTAAAAATGTAGACGACCTTTAACTCAGAGTCCTACTTTGGGAAAGCGATTTCACAGGAAGGTAAGCAGTAGCACGCAGGCCACAAGCCACCTTTGTAAATGAGTAAATACTGTATTATTGAAAGAAAGTAGTTTAATGAGTGATGATGCCTCCATCTGCAAGTAACAAAATAGTGAGGAACAAAAGCCCACCTCAAAGGGCACTTGCGGGTTCCCACCTGGAGGGCTGGCAGCAAGAAATGGATACCTGCCCAGTCCTGGGGCTGTCCCCAAGGGCTTGTCCCCGTCCAGAAGAGGGGGAGTCTCCCTCCACTGGTCCTCAACAAAGGTCATGACCTTATCTCTGACTGAGCCAGAGAAAGGCCAGAGGGTGTGGTCTTGGATCCAAGTGACTGCCTACCCCTAAAAGCACTCAGGGCCCACTTGGAGCTCAGGGAGGAATGCACACCGCTCTAACTCCTGGGCTACTCACCATGTGGGTGGCTCTGCAGGAAGGGCCAGTGTTCTCAAAAAGGAAAAGGGAAATGGACAAGTGACCACATGCTTATCACGGGAATTTCAAAGCAATGGCCACTGTTAAAAAACAGTCAAAGACTCCTTGTTCACCTCAAAGAAGGTCCTGAGAGTATTTACAACGTGGTCTGCGTGGCCTCAATCTGAGTCAGAGGTCAGAAGGAAGGAGAAAAAGGCATAGGAACTGCCCTTCACTGGCCACTGACCGCTATCCCAAGACAGCCCGAAGACTGGATCCTAAATGCTTGCTGGTCCAGTCAGGCTTCTCTTCCTCCCGATCTCATGTGACAGGACAGGGCAGCCCGAAGTAGCCTTTGCCCACACCCATGCACACTGCGGTACCTGACACGGTCACCCTAGGAGGACTAGAACAGAACACTCAGAACATTTCAAATGACAGTTCTCGCACCATTATGTACCTGAAGGAGGAGGGCTCCCCGTGGACAGGCAGGGAACCAGGGGGTGCTGGACCGGGGCCCTGGGCACCCGTCCTGATGAGTTTCCCCGTGTTGGAGTCGTAGATCCGAACCTCGGGGCCAGGCTGGGCCTTGGGGTGCATGGGCGTCGGGTGAAACAGGGCGGGGGGAGGCACACCCTGCCTCTCGGGAAAGGCTGCTGGGCTGTTCTCCCTGGGGAGAAGAGGAGAGGTGTGAGGTCAGTGCTGGCACCTACATGGGACAGGGACAAGGAGATGCAGGGGGACAGCACCCAGTCCTCATGCACGTGAACTGAAAGCTCCTTCGGTCCCTGACTAAGCTCATCCAGATGGAAGACCAGCAGTTCTCACAAAGCCCAGAGTGCAGTGATGTGCTGCCTCTCATCTCAAGCCTCCCTGGCACCCAGGCCAGCGTTTCACTGCCAGACACACACAAATTTCACAGAACAAACAGCCTTTCTCATCACAAACAGGTGTCCTCACTTCTTGCGACCCCCCACGTGACTCTCTCCCCATAAACACTTGAAAGATTGGAATTAATGCTTTTTTCCTAGACAACCACTTTTGCATATCTGATGTAATTCTGCAAACTTGCCCCACAGGTCCTGCCTGGCCGCCCTCTTTCCTCGGCCAGCCACTATTTCTGGTGCTGCCCTGGACCTATGACAGCCTGTGTCTAATTCAGGTGCCTGTTCCCCAGCCCTGAGGAAACACATGCAAAAGAAGAGTCACTACTAGGAGACGTGTTGTATTCCAACAAGCAGAAAAGCTATTTCCCTTCTTTTTTATTCACTTCTTTTTTAGACATTGATGGTTATGCACGTGCTTTTTAAGCTCTGTGAGTTAACAGTATCTGGAGAACCTGGAGGTCAGTGGTCACATTGCTGAGGGACAGGGGTGGAGGCGAGTGTACAGGAAGGGACTCCTCTCCTTGGGAGTGCTGCAGCCTCCAGGCCCACGCCCCACCCCTGCACCTCTGCTCCCACCTGTGAACAGAGACCACGGACTTGTGCTGGGGCTGTCGTGGAGGCTAGCACATGCTCTGTGCTCCGGGGTTCACCTCACCTCTGCGTTTTGGCGCAGTCGTCCTTGAGTGGGAAGAGCTGCTCCTCCACCCTGTCCCAGCGCTCCAGGCAGCTCCACAGCCAGTCGGGGTTCACCACATGCAGGTGCCCGCACTCCAGTGCCTGGCGCACCTTCTCCGTGCCTGCGGGGAGACCACGCATGTCAGGAACAGGGATGCCAGGGAGGAGCCCTGAGGAGCAGGGCGCATTTCCTACTCCACTAGTACAATTTCTGGATTTAAACAAC